ATTGGTATGAGCAAGTCAGTTACTTGGTGTTCATCAAAGTTAAATGTTTCCAAGCAATTTGTTTTTCACGTTTGTACCACATCCCTGGGGCCAGAGCGGCGACATTGAGTCTTATTTGAAACTGCTGGCTAAGGATAAACGATTAAGGATTAATGCTGAGTCGGTGTGTACATATGCAAAAACAATGTCGGACACCGTAGTTTTCTCTGGACCCCTGCCAAATCTGACCAGTGATGACATGTATAGCCGTATGTCGTCATTCCACCGCTGGTTGTCGAGGTGGTGTCCAGCAAACGATGTGGGCTTTGTAGATCATTGGCAGACTTTCTGGGGAAGACCTGGTCTGATTCGGAGAGACGGCATCCATCCCACTTGGGAAGGAGCAGCTCTCATTTCTAGAAAACTGTTCAAGTTTATTAGTGGACCAAATCCAAGACAACCCAGAGTTGAGACCAGGAGGCAGAGTCGCAGTCTAATACACTTCTCTGCCCTTCTAATTCAGCAGTTACCCACCCAAAACCCGACGCAGAGTCGCAGTCTAACACACTTCTCTGCTCCTCCATTTCAGGAGTTACTTAGTGAAAATCATATAGTGACGGTGTCTGTCCCCCGATCATCGAAATTATTTAAATCAAAGGTAAACAGAAGAGGAGCTGTGCATAAAAACCTCATAAAAATTAAAACCACAAGAGCAATAGTCCAAACAAATAGAAAAATTAAATGTGGACTGAAACATCAGATCTCTCTCTTCTAAAGGTGTACTAGTAAATGAACTAATATCAGATTATGATATTGATTTATTTTGTCTTACTGAAACCTGGCTGGGTGATGGAGAATATGTTAGCCTAAATGAATCCACCCCTCCCAGTCATATTAATACTCACATTCCTCGAGGCACAGGCTGAGGAGGTGGAGTTGCAGCTATCTTCAACTCTAGCCTACTAATCAGCTCTAAACCTAAACTATAACTCATTTGAAAGCCTTGTTCTTAGTCTTTCACACCCAAGTTGGAAATCACTGCAACCAATTCTTTTCGTTATAGTGTACCGAGCACCTGGTCTGTACTCTGAATTCTTATCTGAATTTGCAGAGTTTTTTTCAACTTTAGTCCTTAAAACGGACAAAGTTATTATTGTAGGGGATTTTAATATTCATGTGGACGTTGAGAATGACAGCTTCAGTACTGCGTTCATCTCTCTGTTAGATTCCATTGGCTTCTGTCAGAGTGTTCATGAACCGACTCACTGTTTTAACTGCACCCTCGACCTTGTTCTGGAATATGGTATTGAAATTGATCATTTAATAGTGTTCCCACAGAATCCCTCTTTATCCGACCACTGTTTGATAACTTTTGAGTTTGTAGTGCTGAACTACACACCATTGGGCAAAAATTTCTATACAAGATGTCTGTCTGATAGTGCTGTAGCTAAATTTAAGGATGCGATTCCACCAGCTCTAAATTCATTATCAAGTCACAAAGTAACGGAGAAAATAATAAAACAAAGACGGTTAGCTCCATGGTATAATAACTGGCGTTCCACCAAACTGGCAAGATAGTCTTAAAATTATAGGAAGGTCCTCCATAATGCCAGAGCAGGTCCCAGGTTTCATTTCAGCACTGTAGCCAGGCTGACAGAGAGTCATAGCTATTGAGCCAAGTGCTCTCAGTAGTTACGACTTCATGAGCTTCTTTAATGATAAAATTCCAACTATTAGAAACAAAATTCACCAAGACCTGCCCTTAACTGGCACCAACTTATCTCTAAACTCAGGAACCTTAGAAACAGCTGTAAAACCAGATATATGTTTATATATATATATGACTGTTTTGCCTCCCTCAACCTTTACCAACTAACTTTCCAACTAAATTTCTTCATCTAAACCATCAACCTGCCTCTTAGACCCCAACCTGATTAGGTTGCTTAAAGATGTTTTACCCTTAGTCAGCACTTCTATGCTAGATATAATCAATCTATCTTTATTAACAGGCTATGTACCACAGTACTTTAAAGTAGCTGTAATTAAACCTCTTCTGAAAAAGCCCAAACTTGATCCGGATGTTTTAGCCAACTATAGACCTATATCTAACCTTCCATATCTCTCTAAGATCCTGGAGAAAGCAGCTGCTAAACAGCTGTGTGACTTTCTACAGAGCAATAGTTTATTTGAGGATTTTCAGTCAGGATTTAGAGTTCATCACAGAGACAGCACTGGTGAAAATTACTAACAACCTCCTTATTGCATCAGACAAAGTACTTGTCTCTGTACTGGTTTTATTAGATGTTAGTGCTGCATTTGATACCATTGACCATCAGATCCTATAACAGAGACTGGAAAATTTCATTGGTATTAAAGGAACCGCTCTAAGCTAGTTTAAGTCCTATTTATCAGATCGATTTCAGTTTGTACATGTTAACGATGAGTCCTCCATGCATGCCAAAGTTAGTCATGGAGTTCCTCAAGGATCTTTCCTCGGACCAATCCTCGTCACTTTATATATGCTTCCTTTAGGCAATATTATCAGGAAATATTCCATAAACTTTCATTGTTATGCAGATGATACTCAGTTATTTCTATCGATCAAGCCAGATGAAACTCATCAGTTAGCTAAACTTCAAATGTGACTTCAGGATGTTAAAATCTGGATGACCTGTAATTTTCTAATGTTAAACTCAGATAAAACTGAAGTTATTTTTCTGGGGCCTAAGCACCTCCGTGATGCATTATCTAAAGATATAGTTCCCTTGATGGCATCGCCCTGGCCTCTAGCACCACTATGAGGAATCTTGGCGTTATCTTTGATCAGGACATGTAGTTGAAAATCAGGATCCTGTCTAAAAATGATGCAGAAAAACTAGTCCATGCATTTGTTACTTCTAGACTGCAATTCCTTATTATCAGGCTGCTCGAAAAAGTCCATTAAGACTCTTCAGCTGATCCATTATGCTGCAGCACGTGTTCTGACAGGAACCAGGAAAAGAGATCATATTTCTCCTGTTTTAGCTTCTCTGCATTGGCCACTTGTGGTTCCTAGAGTCTCCAAAAGTAGACTAGGAGCCAGAGCGTTCAGCTATCAAGCTCCTCTCCTGTGGAACCAGTTTCCAGTTTGGGTTCAGGAGGCAGACACCATCTCCACATTTAAGAGTAGGCTTAAGACTTTCCTCTTTGATAAAGCTTATAGTTAGGGCTGGCTCAGGTGAGTCCTGAACCATCCCTTAGTTATGCTGCTATAGGCCTAGACTGCCGGGGGATTTCCTATGATGCACTGAGCTCCTCTCTCCTCTACTTTCTCTCCCTCTGTATGCAACCTCATCCCATTATTGCATGTTACTAACACAACTTCTCCCCTTTCTGGTAGTCTTGTGCTTTCTCGTCCCTCTCCTCTCTCCTCCTATCACTTTCTGCAGGTGTTTCTGGCTCTGGAGCTGTGGAGTCTGGATCTGTGGCTGCGGGTCACCTGCTGCCCCCGTGTTCCTGCACACTCAAAAATGGAGGTACGAGACAAGAACATTTCTGTACTTACAGGTACACTTTTCAAGAATGTTCCCTCAAAGGTACAATATTGATCTTAAAGAGACCAGAAGTGCACCTTTTCACTACAGAAAGGGTACAAAGTGATTTAAAACAAAAATAAGAACAAATCTGTACCCTTTCTGTCTGTCAAAGGACATTTGCAATGCAGCCATGAAAAACGTTTGTAGCTCATTTGCTACTTCCAAAGTTGGCACCTACACATGAGAAAAACACAAACTCTTCCAGGAACCTTTATGCATTATTGTTGGCAAACCTTTTTGGCCCCCAGATACCCTTGGTGTTAGCAAAAAGTAAAGATTTAATGCTACAGTCTATGCTCTCAAGTGATTGGGATATTCACATGTCACTCAGGGGTTGCATGTAAACTGTTAGCTCTGGCTACGGTTAGCTAGCTAAATTGGTGACACTGACAGTGCAGTCCAACCATTTATTTTTTATACAGTCAATGCGTGGTACTCTAAATCTAACAATCTAAGCAAAATATTATAGTAATATAGTAGTATTATAGTAATATTATATTCAAATGTATTTTGGTAGTATTATAGTAATACTATAGTAAAGTAAATATGGTAGTATTAAAGTAAAATTATATTATTATTATATTGGTTTTATATGGTTAGGTTTTTTTCCCCAAGTGGATCAAAGAAAAAATCTGATATGACCACAGTATAACGTTGTGACCGACATACTTTACATGTATGTATATGCTGTGAGAATCATCATCAACAAGCTAAGCCAATCAGAGGCAGAGTAGGGCGGGACATGCCTCTGCCGTATTCACTCCCCCGCCCCGACAGAGTTAACGGTCAGTGTGCCGCTCAAACTCCGAGCAGGACCGAAGATGTCAAGCTTATTTACAGCTACTAGCAATGTCACTGGGTCTAATGGGTTAATGTGCATGGCTGCTTTCTTCAGTTCAGAAGTTTTCCAGTTTGAATAATGCTGTTAACCAATATCATGCGGTAAATATCTGAACTTTACAGCAGCTTCTCAAGGGGTTTTCAATTAAAGTTTTTAAGATTTTTTTTGTTCTGTTCTTAACCCAATCGATTAATTGTGTCAGTCATTCTCATGATTTGTATGTCCAAAGTGTCGGTGCTTCTGTGTATTTAATGGATTTTTTATTTACATTTCAGGCGATGACGTAGATGGCGAGAGAGTGGATTGCATACCCACAGAGAGTATGATCGGGTATCTCTGACAAGTCTGACCAAAAGCTGTTAAAGTTCAGACTTCACACTCTGCTACAAGGAGGTCACCCTTAATTTGGAAGCAGTCAAGCCAGAACAACAAACATGTGTCCCATACAAACCAGAGGTAAGAATGTAATAAATGCACCACTCTTTCACCTTTTTTTTGTTGCATAGATTGACCTAATCTGCATCAATGTGGTGGCAAATTAGCTAAGATAAAATGATTCTTCTGCTGTTTTGCAGGTGGGAACCTACTTGACACAGACTGCCTTGCAGAACCGGTCCAAAAGTAACAACAGTACCGCAACAACATAATGAGGAGTCTATATGAAATGCAGTGTACAATGTAAGTGTTACTGTTCAAATATAACAAATATGTACAGGCTTTGAGAAAATAATTTGTTTATTCTCAGTGGTAACAACCAGTAAAGAATGGACGACTGAAAGCATGTCAAAAGCAATATTAACTTCTGACCTGCAATCCTGAAGTACTCACTGGTCTTAACTTGTATTATAGGTTGTTTAAGTATTTCTTTCCCATATTTTTCTGTTTTATATCTCAGTTGTGCGATGAGGTCGATGCTATGCAACCCTTTGCAGTCAACAATTGCCACCGCTTCAGTGAAAACTTCACATTTGGATTTGTCACTGAAAAAAACCCACATGGATGAAAGAGAATCCCGTGGCTGAGGATATTATTACAGGTACTGATTTTAACACATACATTACAAATGAGGATGGGGATCGTTAATTTTTATTGATATAGATGACATTATTGAGACTGCTTAACAATCTCAGTCTCTCGATACACTATCGATAGTTCCTATTATTTATTGACTGTTTTTTGGTCAGACCAGACCCAACGGGCAGAGGTAGGTATGACTTGCGATAAATAAAACAAATATTGAAGTGTGCATTTAAACTGCCTGGTTGTTCTTAAATTAATTATAGGATTAGAATTTAATATTTTAAATACAACTGTTTCTAGAGCAGCAACATTAATGTTTACAACATCAAGTCACTACATAAACAATATGTGACACCCCAATACTGAGTGACGTTTAGAAAGAATGAAATGAGATGTTACCTTTTTTAATTTAATTGCATCCACATTCTTCCACATCTTGGATTTTATGTTAATAAGTGATGGCTTGTGTAAGTTTTGTCTTCAAATTAGGCACCATTTTCGCTCAATTATCTACATCATTGATACCGCCTTGCGGTCAGTGTCAGACATCATGTGTTGTGATTTGATACTATTCTACTAATTTGAATGTCTATTCCAATGTAAAACCTGAATGTGAAATTGTTTGTTCCATGCATTTGCAAATGTAGGAACGTGTCAGTCACAAATAAGCAAGGCACCCTTAAAATTGTACCATCTTTATGACCTAGGAATGTTATTTTGGATTACTGTGCCCCCCTTACCACATCCATTTTGTTATGAATGCTAAAATGTTTTTTTTTTCTCTTATGTAGAATGATCCCCTAACTCCCATCCAATCATTCAACTGAAAGACCACGACTGGAAAACTGCCCTCTACAGACATTGCAGTGTTTTCAAATTGGAAGGAATTGAAGTTTGTTCCTGCACTTCAGTGGATGCCTCATCCAGTTTATCACAGCCTTCTGCTTCGTCTTCAACATGACATATCCTACAAACTTTCAAAAGACCCTGAACTTTATGGAAGATTGAGACAAACCCCTGCTGGTAACTGTAACTCGAGGCATTAACCTTCTTTACTGAAAATGCCTGGACTGCATTACTGTTTGAAATGTTCAAAGAGGACCTTTGCTCTGAGGCAAGTGATTCAACACACTGGACTTGTACATGCCCACGAACCTTTCCTTTCGGTGTTGTGTTCATGTTTATGAAAACACAAAGACAATATTTCTAATTGCTGAAAAAAAAACCCTGAAGAACCTTTCAAATAACTAGTATAACTTACCCACACCTGGTATTTTAAAGATGTGCAGTTTCAGGATACAGTACTTCAGCGTATGTCATCTTTATCTGGTAATGGTGTCAAAGGATGTTTTTGTTGTAGGTAATGTACACCCTGAAGCCATCTCTTTATTGAAAATTAATCACAATCTGAACATTGAGACTTTTTTGTGTGTTGGGGTGTTGTGTAGGAAACTTGTCATCAATTGGACTCCAATCTAGATGTGTCTAGAGCCTGATGGAATCCAAATCCACCATCAGGCTCTAGACACATTTAGTTGATGGTAGATTCATTGAGGTATTTCTGTCTAAATATTATCTGCCAAAATATATTTTTTACTTTTTGTCTAAATATGCTTATACTGTTTTGTTGATGCATAGTGTACATGCAGACGTGGGACAAATCAAAGTATCTTTTGTTCTATGCGTTCTATAGTTTCAGAGTAGGTGTAGTTTCATATTTTTTGTAAAACTATCTGCAATGAATTAACTTTGTAGTACCACAAATACATGTCATGTTCATCTGGAAAATTACATTTTCATTGACGTCAATAAACAGTCAAAGTATTATTGTGTGGAGAATTATGGTACATTTTTGTCTCCTTAAAGTCCAGAATAGCTTGTCGCAGGGGTGGTACCCTTAATAGGACATTTTAGTACCCTTTTAATGGGTACATTATTGTACTATAGTTTAAAAGGTACGTTTATGTCTTGCAGGGTACACAATTGTACCAATTTCATAAGGTACAAAAATGTACCGGCACTAAAGGGTACACAATTGTCCCTCAAAAGGGTACCTCCCCTGCGACAAGCATTTGTACCCTTTTAAGTACACACCCGTACTTCTATTTCTGAGTGTGTGCTCGACACCCTCTGCTACAACAACTATTGTTACTAGTCCTATTGTTATTATTGTTATTAAAATCATTAACATTACGATTGTTATCATTTACACTACTATTCATATCTATACCATTTTTCATTTAGTCATTTAGTCTATAGCAACATCACCTTTACTGTCTGTACCTCTGTGTGTATATTGTGTAGGCTGCCTCCCTCCCCTCTCTCTCCTTCCCTCTCTTTTTCTCTCTGTTCCTCTCTTGCCCTCTCTCTCTCTCCCTCTCTCTCTCTCTCTCCTTCACCCCCAACCGGTCGAGGCAGATGGCCGCCCACCCTGAGCCATGGTTCTGCTCGAGGTTTCTGCCTCTTAAAAGGAAGTTTTTCCTTGCCTCTGTCGCCTAGTGCTTGCTCTTGGTGGGAACTGTTGGGCTTCTGTAAATAACATCATAGAGTATGGTCTAGACCTGCTCTTTTATGAAAAGCGCTGTGAGATAACTGTTGTTGTGATTTGGCGCTATATAAATAAAATTGAATTGAACTGAATTGAATTGTTCACATTTCTGAGCGCCGTCAGTCAAATCTATTCCACTTCAGGAATACCCTAATAAATAATACTCTGTTCCGCGTTTTAGCTACTGCCTTGACTTTTCGCGCTGCTGCTTCGTCAAATCTCGGCTCATTCTAAGTCCATATAAATTAAACTCCACTACATGTTTTCACAACTTGGCCCTGCTGCACTCAGTGTAAGGCACAGGCCTGTGCCTGCTGCTCGCCCTGCTCTGTGTCTGTTAATGCACATATGCCGTCATGAATGCCGTGAGGCTGCAAGGGACTGGGTGGCTTATTATATTGGTTCTGGTCAGGTGGGTCTGTACTTGGTGGTACTGTATGGGTCAGTGAGGCATTGACTCATCCTGCTTTGCCTCTAACCCAATAGCAATGGCCTTAGAGGGCGAAGCCTATACAAAGTAGAACAGCTACTTGGTGTTCATCAAAGTTACATGTTTTTCACGTTTGTACCACAGAGTCTATTAGGCACATTTACACATAGGCGCCGAGTTGAGGGGATTCTCTGGACTTTTGGTTCTCAGTGCTGAAGAAAAGGCATTCTGGGAGCCGATGGCCAGGTCTCACCGTTGTGTATACACAAATGACGACGTAATAGAGGCCCCTGGGCATAGACAAAGGTTATTTTCAGTGCTGCGCATGTGTGCATAGGGGTAAACCCAATAGCCATAGCCTTAGAGGGCTCCACCTATTCTCATAGAATCTGGAGTTACAACACATAAATACTGGGTCAGGGGTCTTGACGTATAATAATTGTAGTGTCACTAACATGATTTCTTTAGTTACTGATGATGTACGCCAGGGATCGTGAAGATGCCTAAATGAAAGTTGTTGTGTTTCAGATTATGCTTGCTCATGAGTTCTAGCCTATGGTTCAAGCACGTGAACGAGCACACGCCTGGTTGCAATCTTAAAAACACACCGCTAGTGGCCACTACATATTAACCCTTTAACTCTTTCATCCTTCAATATCAATGTCTCTCAAACAAGTTTGGTACAAGAGAAATAGGAGCTACTCAATGTATTCAGTAGCATCTATTTTATGCACCACGTCATGACACAAACATGTCAATCAAATCAGATGGATAACCTTGTGACTTACACAGTAATGTTCGTCAGTGTGTGTGTACATTGCTTGGAAATAGTTGTCAGCTGTCAACAAGATTACAAAGACCTCTGTAATATTGTGGTAGAGGGGCCATAGGGTTGTGAATGTGTGTGTGTGTGTGTGTGTGTGTGTGTGTGTGTGTGTGTGTGTGTGTGTGTGTGTGTGTGTTATGAGATAGCAGGAGTTATTCAGCCCCTGTAAAGTGTCTGTGGATATTCTCTGCTGTTATTGATGTTGGCTGCAGAGTGACCCTGCTTTATTACTGCCTGACTCTCACGCTTTAAAACTCCTTCTTCCTCGCTCACTCTTTTTATCTTTTTCAGTTTCTGTCTGTCTCCATCTTTTCCTCCTCTTTCCTTTTTTGTCTGCTTTCTCTTATGTATTTCTATCCCATTCCCAAAATGACTCCCATTAAAACCATGAGATTGGCCTGAGTGGTTCCTGAGGAGTGACGGTAAGAATGTTTGAGAAATGAGGTGATGGACAAAGGGAAGCTGCAGGGGTCCATTTCAACACGCCACCCAGCTCTGTTATTTGGACAGGGAGCTTTTCAGAAGGACAGGGGCAATATGGAGAATAGGCCTGGGGAAGGCAATAAACACTTTGTGAAATTGATGTGGAAGTAGGAAATATAGGAAGCGCTGCAAGGGCAAGCGGCATTGTATAATGTATTTGCTGACTTTCCCATGTATTTCTTGGCTTGCCCAGGATGATAAAATGAAATGCCTTTGTGTTCCTTTCTGCTATTGATTTTTTTTCTCCATTGGGCCATAAGCTGTCCACTTTGGTATGTACAGTAACAACTGTTTTCTTGATGTACCTGTTTGTTAGAGATAAGTTATTCTGTTTGGTTAGGCACGAGTGCTTAGCAGGAAAATAAGGGAAATCATTGAAGGGTGCTGGTAAAATGGTCCCTGTTCCTGGCTTTCTAATAACAGGTCAGATACACATTGTTTAGGGGTTGAACCTCTCACTGACAAGCTCTTTTCCATCTCTCAACCATTTTCTCTCTCTCTGAAGCCTGTTGCAATATGAACACTGTATGACACATACATTTTATGCACAAATCCATTATCCATTCATCAATATTTTTGTAATGGTTTTGAGGTTTTCTGAGCTCCTGTTTAATTTTTAATGTATCCTTCCTGTTGTGAACCTTTGCTTCCTGTTGTTACTTGGTTGATTGATGAGTGTTTCTGCTTGTTTTCCTTTGTGTTCTACCTGTGTTCGGATTTCCTTGAACTTTGATTACAGCCTGTACCTATTTTGGATTTTACTTGTTGTTTGGACTGCCTGTCTCACCTGTGGGGTAAGTTGTTCTCATTGTGATTAATAAATACTGAAATCTAAATTTTCACAGCATGTCATGCATTTGGGTAAGGGTGGTTTGTTCATTAGGGCGATCGGGCGACGCACCGACAAACCAGGAACCGCACTGTTAGTTAGCTGTGACTGTTTCTGACAGACAGTTTGCCACTGAATATCGTTGTCTAATCAGTGTCAAGTCGTGTTCCAAAGAGTCCTGCCAATTTTGGGCGATTTCAGTCTGGTTGAAAATTTCCCAGATCGCTCTCATAGACTTTCATGTTAAGGCAGTTTTTTTCTAACTGCGGGCGTTGCAATGCAGTCTCTATGGCTTCTGGGAGGGCTCGCACTTGGGTGTTTACGTCATGCGCCCAACAGCAGAGCTACGCTTCTGCCACCTGAAAACGACTCGGCAGGCCACCAGCTTGTTGCTCTCCTACTATCAGCAGCGCTTTCAACAAAATGTATATTCAGCTTGGTGTTTTGTCAGGAGATGCAGTGACTTAACCAGTGGTGAGTAAGATATAGTACCATTGATACATGTGATTTGTTAAGCTATGAGGAGAGGAAATGTCTTCTAGCCTCTAGGCTAATTTATGCAGTGTGAAATGCCATAGAAGCTAATAAAACCCAAATCTTGATAGTTAGTAATAAGCTGAATTTTATGCTTATGTTAAATGTGATTGTTATTAAGGCATGTTTTATGTGTGATAGTGGTGTCAATTTAAAGTTAACTTTACTGCACTTAACCGGTAACCATTATTTTATGTGTTTTTGTTTTCTTTTATTGTCAAAAACCACAGAAGAAAGAGGAGGTAGCATGATGGGGCCATCATTGGCATAGTGCTCAGGGGAGGATAAAAAGAAGAAGGAGGAAGTAGGAGAACAACACAGAAAATAAACCAAAAACAAT